TCTCCCTCCCAGCTCAAAGGCTACGGGCGGGGACTTTTGATATACAGATTTTGTAACGGAAATTGTCGCGTCGCGAAAACGTTAGAGTTTATAGGGAGATATTTCTTAATTGCCATGTCCCAAATCACAAAACGTTAGCAAATATTGAGTCGCAACCTAGATTTGAATTAAGAAATATGGATCTCGTACGATAAGAACTGTAGAAGTTGAGGAGCAAATATTAAATGCGGTCTAGCACGATCCGACACTTAGTACTTGACATGAAAACAACGGAGTTCCTAAAAGTATTATTCATGAAATTTTAAAAGAAAAATGTATGTTAAGTTAGCATACAGGCATATACAAGAACTTTTACCCATGGATCCTGCAATGCGTGCAGTATTTTATAATTTTATTCAAAATTAATGGTTTCAAAATGAAAACTTCCATAGACAAATTATTTTTACTAATGAAGCTTCTGAATCTTTTAATAGACATGGCCGCATGGCGTAACTAATTTACCTAATGAACACATTCAAAATTAATATCCAGGTTAGAATTATTGGACCTGTCGTCATACCAAATCGTTTAAATGGGGAAAATTATTTAAATTTCTTACAAGAAAAAATGTTACCTACCTTACTTGAAGATGTGCCACCATTAATTCGTCATAACCTGTGACTTATACACAATGGTACACAACCTTATTTTACAGCAAATTTTAGACAATATTTAACAAATACATTTCCTGAACGATGGTCCTATAATGACTTTTTTTTTTTTGGGTACTTTATATCTCTTGTTTATTCAGTTTCAGTTAATAATATGCAAGATGTACAAAACAGAATTATAGCTAGAGCTAATGTTTTAAGAAATAAGGCAGAGACAATGCAAATGTTGCATTTTAACTTTGTATATTCAAGAAAATTGAGGTCTTTTTGAACCTACCTTGCATTAAGGTAACTTTGATACAGCGGGGGTTTGCTACGAAAGACTGATTAGACTAAATATGGTCTACCGGTAGACTTGGAAATTAAAATGATAGAGGTGGATAACTCCACAAGTAAAGTGATCAAAGTAATATGCCTGTATCAAAGTAACCCCAGTACACGGTACTACTTGTTTTAAATTGATTCACTATTTACTAAAGGTATATCTACAAACAATGCTTTAAATTAATTTGTATATTAGGTAAATATGGTTAAATCAACTAATTTTGAGCCCAAAAATCTGTGTTTACTTCATGTACACGCAATTTCCGGACACTCTGTATAACGTGCTCATTGAAATTCATAAAAAATGGAATCACTTTATTAAACAAATCTCAATTGACTAGATTTTCAAATGTCTTAATCTAAACAATTTCAAGAGCAATTAAAAAACATCTCCCTTGACGTATTATTGCTTCTACCAAACACTCTCTTATGCGTATTGTTTGTTACAATTTTAAAGATTCTCATATTTTATTTTTATTATTTTCGAATATTGTATTTCTTAGGATTTGCTGCAAAAAATATTTATCATGCGAATAATTATATTCTATACCGTCACAATGTCGTTGAAATTGGCGCCAAAATAACAAAAACTAGAAGTGTACCAAAAGATCATAATCCTTGACATTTTGAAGATCTATACCTTCGACCTTCCTAAAAATTATCAGTAAATATTCTACTAAAATATACTCATTAATATTTTTATTACTTTTTATTAATTTTTATTAATTTTTATTAACTTTTATTAATTTTTATTAATTTTTATTAATTTTTATTAATTTTTATTAATTTTTATTAATTTTTATTAATTTTTATTAATTTTTATTAATTTTTATTAATTTTTATTAATTTTTATTATTTTTTATTAATTTTTATTAATTTTTATTAATTTTTATTAATTTTTATTAATTTTTATTAATTTTTATTAATTTTTATTAATTTTTATTAATTTTTATTAATTTTTATTAATTTTTATTAATTTTTATTAATTTTTATTAATTTTTATTAATTTTTATTAATTTTTATTAATTTTTATTAATTTTTATTAATTTTTATTAATTTTTATTAATTTTTATTAATTTTTATTAATTTTTATTAATTTTTATTAATTTTTATTAATTTTTATTAATTTTTATTAATTTTTATTAATTTTTATTAATTTTTATTAATTTTTATTAATTTTTATTAATTTTTATTAATTTTTATTAATTTTTATTAATTTTTATTAATTTTTATTAATTTTTATTAATTTTTATTAATTTTTATTAATTTTTATTAATTTTTATTAATTTTTATTAATTTTTATTAATTTTTATTAATTTTTATTAATTTTTATTAATTTTTATTAATTTTTATTAATTTTTATTAATTTTTATTAATTTTTATTAATTTTTATTAATTTTTATTAATTTTTATTAATTTTTATTAATTTTTATTAATTTTTATTAATTTTTATTAATTTTTATTAATTTTTATTAATTTTTATTAATTTTTATTAATTTTTATTAATTTTTATTAATTTTTATTAATTTTTATTAATTTTTATTAATTTTTATTAATTTTTATTAATTTTTATTAATTTTTATTAATTTTTATTAATTTTTATTAATTTTTATTAATTTTTATTAATTTTTATTAATTTTTATTAATTTTTATTAATTTTTATTAATTTTTATTAATTTTTATTAATTTTTATTAATTTTTATTAATTTTTATTAATTTTTATTAATTTTTATTAATTTTAAAAATTAGCGGTCAGCTAGTGTCACAAATAACTAATTTTTAAAAGAAATTCTGAAATATATACATTATTAAGTGCCACATTTAAAATAAAAAAAAAAAAGAAAATAAATTGTTTTGTAAATAAGAGTAGTTAATAATTATTTAGCCAATTTCTAGAACAGTGCATACTTCACACATTGCGTGCCACGTCTCTCATATATGAGAGACAAACATTTCGCCGGGGTTTCGTCGCTCATTTATGAGAGACACGCATCTCTCACTTTCTGGCGATGTATATCAAATGTCATACCCGCTACCGTTTATTTCAAATGGAGAATCCCAAGCTTGGCCTCAGGGGAAAGTAATATTGGTCTTGTTTTGAGCAAATTTGGAAAAATAAATTTACCATGACAAGTGTGGCTCATATATGAGAGACACAGAAAAAGTAAAAAAATAGCTAAAAACTACAAAAAAACAGAATTATCAAAAAAAAAACTTAATTTTGAGTAAATACATACAAATATTGCAAAAATGTAGTTTGGCCCCTGGGGCTATTTTCCCGATAACAGCGTGGCACCCAATGTGTTAAATTGTTGAATTTAAATATTTAAAATTAAATATAAAATAATTTGTTTAATTTAAAAGGATATAGGTACCCAACTAAAAATAAATACCTACATACCTACACATAGATGAAAACCTCGATAAAATTTTATTGGTTGTTAAAAGCTAATACATTTTAATTGTTTGAATAATTATGTGCTATTTATTTATGATAAATAAAATTACAAAGTATAAAAACATAGGAACAATATTTGTAAATATGTTCAAAAACCAATGGTTTCAAAAATTTAATTGATATAATTCTAATGTTTATTAGTATACCTAATCAAATATTAATACATATATTATGACTGGAAATAAGGTGTGATTTCCATATTCTACCCCATATCATCTTTAACCTTTTTACAAAGGGAACTGACTATTTTTGAAAATGAATAGAGTGCCCTCATTGGGGGAAACGACTTTATTTGAGCTCCTTGTTTGGGGGATTGCTGAGGAAAATGATTATTTTTTACGAGATATAAAAAGATAGTTTCCCACAGCAAACTGGTAAACAAGTAGATGGAATATAGTCATTTCCCCCAATGATGGTACTCTATTCACTTATAAAAAAAGTTCGATTCCCTCAGTGAAAGGGTTAAGGATTCCTGCATTATAAACTTAGTGTAGAGACAAAGTATGACTCATTTATAAGAACCTACTATAAAAAATGTGACTACTTTTAAGATCCCTTTCACTTCTGCATATCATTCAAATCATGACACATTAAATAATAATTATATTAGTAAGTTGGAATGTTAATGTTTATGCATTCATTTTATAATATTATAGCAATGTCATTCTTCAATGCAGCCTTTGAATTGCGAGAAAAAAAAAATATTTTATCAATAATAATCACTAAGTAATTTCTTTTTAGAATTAAAGACAGGAGAATTTTTTAATGCTTTCGTTACACTAAAACAAATTTATTTGGGCTTTATACTCAAAATGTTTCACCTTCTATTTATTGGGTGGGATGAAAGACAATATAAAAACTTATCCTAGGCAAAAAGAAAAAGTAAATTTATTGAATAAGGATAATACACTTATCTAAGTACCTACAAAATATATAAAATATATTTTAATAGTTAAAAAATACAAAGGTGCATGTACTGTTTATTTTTAAAAGTATAAGTACCTATACTATTGGTAAAAACCAGACTACTAAAAACCCCATTAAGTATTCATCGACTCATTTTGTGATATTACATTATAAATGATATCACTTCACTCATAGCTCATATACAAGATAATTAATGTAATTAAATTTTAATAAGTTCTCTTAATTAATAATACAACACTTGCTGTTTCAATTTAACAATAAAATAAATAACTAGAGGTTAAATAAGTAAAGCACGTTAAATGATTTAATTTAAATAATTTAATTTGACAATAAAATAAATAACTAGACGTTAAATAAGTAAAGCACGTTAAATGATTATTTCATGGAATAAGCTTTATCTGATGATAAGGTCTCTTTATCTAAGGTGGGTGTATACCTACTTATTCAAATACAGGGAAAATTGGATAAAGAAACTAATTTACCACATTTCTGGTTCGATACTCAAAATAAACACAGTATTCGTCATATAAATTTACAATAACAGAAAAATCAACTGAATTAAAACACAAAATAGTTTATCACATCCATATATAAATATTTCGTCAACATAACCTATTATGGAATTAAATATGTATATTTACCTCTTATACTTCCTAAAATTGTGTTGTAGGCTCTTCGAGTGCCACACTTTATCATAATATCACTTCCAAAATTGGTACACAATTATTGTAAAGCATTACAAAAATAAATATTTACTTTTAAAAATTTGAGGTATGGTTGACACTTGTGACTTGTTGACGTAGTAACAGATGAAAGATGACATATGACAAATAAAAGTTTGTTCATTTGCTGGGTTCGGATCTATTATATTTTAATTTAAAAAATCTTTATATTTTTTACTAATCCAACTTCATTAACATTTTTCAAACTTAATGATAGTAACTTTCTCTAATATAATGAAGTATTTTAACTAAAATAAATATAAAACCACAAAGCACTTTGAATTATGCTTTCACAATGATATATCTATTTATATAGATTGCCATATTGCTCGAACTGCTCACTGATCAAAATCGGTTTAGCCCAAATGTGTTTTAAAATTATATTTGAGCCCATGGTGTAAGAATACCATGTTTGAGCCTAGATGTACTAGGCTCTACTCAACTTTTTTTATGAGGTTAAAAAACGAATTTTCATTTGAAGTAATACATATAAGACGTCACTTTAATTTTCTATCTCCTTATGTCAACAAATACGTACACGATACACGATGCATTAATGACCTATTCCACCGTTGTGTTAAACGAAGTTTAAAATGACATTTTTACATTAACAATATCATTTTAATCTCCGTTTAACACAACGGTGGAATCGGCCCTTAATAAAACGTATGTCTCGAATTAGCACGGTTGCAAATTGGCACCAGTTCATTTTTAAATCTTAACACAAGTTTCCTGAAATAATTAGGGCAAATATAAAAGAGTGTATTTTGCATTCTAGCTTTTAAATACTATAAAAAATGGTGGAAAGTCCATAACTTTTAAATATTTGTTAAATATCACCTAATAAAATATTATGCATTAAAAGTGAAACAAACTAGAGACTGTCCATCATTCTTTGCCATACTCTGGGCATATTTTTATAAACAATTTCTCAAAATATTATCGTTTAAAGCTGTATTTTTTGTGATAGGAAAGTCGCCACATTACTTGTCATTGACAACGCGTTGCACTTAAGCATAAGCTTAAGTTGAGCGTTTAAGGACCGATTTCATCGTTGTGTTAAACTAATTTTAAAATGACATTTTTACATTACAATATCATTTTAATCTGTTTAATACAACGGTGGAATCGGCCCTTAAACAACTATTTTTTGCGCACTGTAAAGTCAAACTTCCATGTAAAAAAATATGTTGATGTATCTATTTTGTGTCATAAAATGTCGTTTTTCGGACAAAAACATATTCAAAATGGAGAACTTTTATATATACTAAAAATTGCTGGAAAATTCGTTTACGACCTAGAGGCTGCAAAAGTTAAGCGGTTCTGTTATCTAAACATTGTGTTTTATGTTCAATTTACCTTTTAATATTGCTCGTGATAATTTTTTGTTATTGTAAAATAGTAGTCCATAATCCATATAAGAAATAAAAATGTTTTACACTTATAGCTACAGATATAATGTTAACATTAGCATGTCGGTGTCGCGAGCTTTTATAATTTACACTGTTTTTTTTTGCTAGTATTTTAACAATTTACAACACATCAACTCTGGTTGCTTATTGTATTGTTTTTAACTATCTTTTTTAAAAAAAGTAAAATATGTACGTGTAATTGATATGGCAAAATTACAAAATTACGCGCTAAAATGCATGAATTATCCGCAGCTAGCGCTAGTATCGCTTTTGCTTCCCCTACCACGACTTCGCACTGAGCAAATACATGGTCAATTTTTAGTTGTCTCTGTTTACTTTAAAAACAATATTTTTAATCATTTAAATACGCTAATGCTTATAATTGTTCAAAACAAAGTTCTATTGATTACTGAATATAATTAATTTTGTAGAATATTTTCTTATTTTTATAGGACTCCATGGTGTTGGACATTCTAATTTTATTTTAACATCCTGCAATAGTTTTAATTAATAATTCATATTAATAATATACATACTATATACAAAAAGTGCATTATTATTATTATTATTATTATTAGATCTATAAAAATCTTAGGGTCGATTCCACCGTTTTGTTAAAAGAAGTTTAAATTACTAAACGAAGATTAAAATGACATATTTACATTAACAATGTCTTTTTAATCTTCGTTTATCACAACGGTGGAATTGGTTCTTAATGACTATAGAAACTATAAACATAAATAATCTAATGTCTAAGGCCCAAGTCCATCACTAGTGATTATAAAAGAAATAAACCAGGTTTAAAATGATATTATTCCGCATGGCCAATGTCATTTTAATCTTGGCTTATTTATTAAGGACTAGCGGTAGGAATAACCCTAAACAGGTTCTGTAAATGATTTGTTTGAAACTGCATACGAAGATAGGTGCTTTGTGCTGAGTATTTGAAGACTAGAGAGGAGGCGAATCGGCAATGGTCTAATTTTTGTCCTTCTTTTATAAAATTCGCGAAATTGACTGTAGTTGGCATGTTTAGACATACTAATTTTACTGCGCTGTCATTAGTGACTGCGCAGTAAAATTTTTTTTCAGCGGCTGGGGAACCCACGATCGGTGAGACTTGCAATCCAAAACCCGCGCGATAGACCGCTCGGCTACGAACGAACTTGACTTAACGGGATATACTGACAGCAGAGACAATCCAGCGAGACGTGTAACTCAATGTATTTTTTTTGTTCGGTAAAACTTATTTGGGCGATTGTAACCACAACCAGTCTATGATGGCGCCACTAGTAAATAGCGGGAAACTTAAAAATGCTTTAGGGCGGGAAATTCAAACATGGATTCAGAAATCGTTTTTGTATACAACAAATTTACAAGAGAAACAAAAACTGTTTCACTGTTTATTAAAAAATATTAAAGCTTCCAATATCATCAAATTTTTTATCATATAAATAATCATTTTAATAAAGGAAGTTTTAATCAGTTTAATATAAGCAGTGAACATAGTTTTTATTACTCTTGTAAATTTCGCTAAAAAAACTTGAAAATTCTATTGATTATTAAATATTTAAACTTGGAAAAATAATACACCAAACTCTTTTTCTATAAATTATATTTTTTTAAGGTACAGAAAAACAAACTACAATTGCTATGTTTAGAAAGTACCTCCTATCATTTTGTGACAAATTACAAAGAAAGTAACAGTTGTTATATATTCATAATATATTTAAAAACTAATGTAACAAATATTTTATAAAGCATAGAGTATATTGATACCTTTTTGCCAGACTATCATAAGTGCCATTTGAACAAATGTCTGGCAAAAAGGTATCGATATGTTATGACTGTTTATTTTAATAGAAACCATGGAAATGAAACAAACACACATACACTCAACACAAATGTATAAGGCCTGAGTCGAGTTCCCATCCTGTAAACTGGATCGAAACCTGCTAGACCCATTCCGTACACCCCCTGCTAACTCTTCTTAGGGTAATCAAGATCAATAGATTTATATGTCATGCCTTCTAAAATGGAATGAAGGATGACATACTATCATTTAAACAGGACGTTGCTGAAGGCTTACCCCTGTTATTTTGTTTGTTTGTGTATCTTGTGTGTGTGCATTCCTGTTGTGTCCCCAGTCATGTAAAAGTTTTCCTAGTCTCCTAATTTGGTTACTAGGTGGACCTTCTCCAACTAGTAGTCTAATCTATTCGATCTGTTCTGCAGCAGGAGGTACTTTTCAAACATAGCAAATAATATTATTAATAATAAACACTATTTAAAGATAAATACATTTTGGTAATATTTTTGTCATTGCCCCTTACCTTTCTCTTACACCACCAGGGTATACCTATTTTCCATATTCGCTTAATTATAGATTACCTTACAATGTTCGAATGAATATAACATTTTACTCATGAAAAATCTAATTTCATATTTAACTCTTTATCAATTTCATTTGAAACAATAATTGGTACCTATATTACAATTTATTATCAAAGAAAATTTCTAATAAAGTTATAGCAAATCCTACTTAAACTACTGGTTGTTCTGCAGGATAAATTAACTTTTCTTGAGATTGATCTCTCTATAAAATCCAAAACCGACCTGATGTCCCCAAATTTATTTTCCAATGCATCCTGATTTAAAATTCTGCCGTTTTGTGACTCAATTTTTTTTTTCTTCCTTTAGAGTGGCTGTTAGAGGTAGGTGTATGTAAGAAATAGCTAATCTCTAATCATTTCAAAAGTCCTTTGCCAATACTACATGTGCAGATTTTTTACTCAGCATACATTTAACTTTCCTAGTAGATAGGAACTTTGTGCTGCCATTAAAGCTGTCCAGACATTCATCTACCTACTTAATGAACACAAGTAGCTGTAACAATGGATCTCTGTTCCAATTCACCTAAAATAATTATAGTCATTGTGTAATATATTATTAAACACACACATTATACACATATACATAATAAATTGGAAATTACTTACCTCTAGAAAGAAATGTATACAAAAACGCGAGTTTGGTTCCAGAAATTGCTTCATGCAAAAAATAATATGCAAAAATAAACATTCCCCCCCAAAGAAAAATAATTAAACAACAAAATCAGACTAAAAGAAATATACGGGGCCCAAATTAAATTAATTTTAATAAAATGCACATGTTCATAACAACATTCATAACATTGTCAGTTGTCAGTTTTAATACTTTTAATCGATATTTCGACGTCAAAAAACCAGCAACACCAGCGCCCTCTGAAAATGGTGTTAGTTTTATTGGAGAGAGATAGACAAATGTAAAGATCAATGTAAAAGAAAAAGAGGGTCATATATGTAATTTAAATGGACCACCGAACATATTTTCCTATTAAGTTACACGTCTCTGTTGTCTCTGCTGACAGTAATAAGCCACTTGAGTCCAAAGGAGAGTTACAAACATACATACATACAGGTGAAGCTAATATAAGCGTGATAAAAATTGATGAAAAGAATCAAAATAATGTGAAAAAAAAAGTACCTGAGTACAAGTAACAAGTGACAAAAAACAAAGCAAGATTTACGTCGTTTCAGATTATAAAACAGGATAAAAATCAAAGGTAAAACTAAAGAAAACACAAGAAGAAATCCATTCAATGTGTTTTTAAAGCTTTTAATGTAAATAAAATAATGTATTCATGTCTAAATATATTTATTGTAAACTAGTCACAATATGTATCTTTCGAAGTGTAGTTTATTTTATTATAAGTTTCTATAATATAAAATTTTACAGTTATAGATGCTTACTTACAAACAACAATTTAACTTACTAGAGAAGAAAATTTATTTTTTATAGAGTTTTAATGTTAGATAAAGAGTTGCTACTGTTATTTTTTTTTGGACCCCAATTGTAAATGTTTTTTATAGGATACTAAACGTTTATGGCAGCATATATAGTTCCTAGTGCCGATAAAGCACTTTCTAGAGATGATGTTGTTCTATACTTTTTAGAAGATATTATCAAATATTATGAGACTTTTTTTACTGATGGTGCTGTTAGCAAAATAAAAAGGGGAAAGCTGAAATTAAAGGATGAGGTAATACCATGTACATTCTCAAATCTCCCTTTATATTTGTATTACAAAAATAAAAAATATGTTAACTGTGTTTTATGTTACTCTTAAAACTATATATTAGTTCAATTGAAAGAAAAATTTGCCACAAAATTGTTTTTAACAAATTTCAGCAATAAAGAAACCTTTTCGAAGTTGGTCATACATACCTAATTTGTATTTTATATAGATTTAATTAAATGATTTATCAATTAAAACATGCAAGATTTATTTAGAAATAAATACAACAGTATGTTCTGTGCTTTATTTAGCTGCAAACAAGTTTATTTTTATTATTTTGCCAAAATTATGTATAATTCCCATAAGAAGCCATGTATTTTAAACAACGTATGCAGAGCCAGCGCCCATGCGGTTAATTATAGAAGCTCAATTAGCACGCGTTTTTTGGGACCGTATTTTGAGTATGCCGATTCGTCTCCTTATCTCTAGTGAGTACACACATCGAGACAGAATATATGCATTGCGTCTATTAGAGAAAGAAAACAGTTCGCCCCGTAAAACATGCTTTCGTTCATGCTTTTCGTTATCTGAATTACTTATGGATGATCAATCTATATCCAATATGTCATTGTGCATTCAACAAAACGAACAGTTCTATTGGATTAATTCTCGAACGGAGTCTTAATAAATGACATTCGACATTTAGGTCTTTTGACTTTTGACAGTTTCTTAAACAAGTGCTTCACGTACGTACATTTTAAAAATCTTATTAAATTAAAGACATCTTAATATATTTTTACCCGAAGTATGGTTTTCTAATTTGTAATAGTTATTTATAAAATATTTATTTTAGTAATTTTTGTGTTTAATAAACAAAAATAAAGTTTGATATTTATAACCTAAAATATTGACAAGTGATTCCTGTTTTTTACAATATATCAGAAATATTTCTGATTAACTATTTAATTATTTTTTTTTAGGATGTTGATGCCAAAAAAGAACAGAGTCGCTATTTATGAATACCTCTTCAAAGAGGGTGTTATGGTAGCCAAAAAAGACTACCATGCCCCCAAACATCCTGAATTGGAAACGATCCCCAATTTACAAGTAATTAAAGCTTTACAATCGTTGAAATCGAAGGGTTACGTAAAAGAACAATTTGCCTGGAGACACTATTACTGGTATGTACAATTATTGCTTTACATATAAAATAGTGGAAATATGGTCAAAACGTGCACTAATAAATATCATAACTTACAATCCCATTGTCTTGATATAACCTTGATTCTTAAAACTAGTGATAATAATAGTAGATTTATTCTAAAATCATCAAAATTTTTCTTCATTCTATTAGATATAATTCACATTTTGGTTGGGGTTCAGCTCTTGGAGCTAGGGCAATTCGGGACGAGATATTGAGAAATCTTATAAAATGATTACTAAATCACCACTAAGTAGTATTAGGGTAATCTTGTAGTTGAAGGGTCTGTAAATGCATAGGTCTGCACCATTGCTGTTTCGGCTAGTTCTGAGAGTTGGAATCATGAAATATAGAGGCAACACTACTGCCAAACTTAGCCCTTGCTAATTTTTAATTTTAGAATTAAATGGGGTAAACATCGCAAGTAAATAATAAAGGATATGCTTTAAAATAATAAATATAGATACCGGCCCCTAACAAACAATAATGTACATGGTCAAAATGATATAAAATGTGATTTTTTTTTTTAAATTGGACATGTGTATAAATTTTGAGGAAAAAGATTTAAATGGATAAGTGACAATAAATTGTAAAGTTGTACCTTAAGCAGTGTATCCCACATTTATAATGTCAAAATATCGATATTTACCAATACTGAATTTAAAAGTATTACAATAACATTTATAAAATGTAAATTAATCAATAAGATTGAGAATTATAAAAATGTTTTTAGCTTGATGTTAGCTGAAATGTCATTTATCCACCTTAGAGGTTTATAAAACACATAATTATATACATTGCTCACCTATCTTTAAATAATTTTAGACCCCTCTCGTTTCAGAAATAACACTATATAAAACACATAATTGTATGTAATACAACTTTGGTAAGATATGTTATTGGACACTTATCTAGTATTCTGAGTAATGTTTAATGGTAATGTTACTAACATTTTACAAAAAATCGCTAGGTTATTAATTAATATTTTAAAGTTTGTTGCAATCTCCTTTGACAGTAATTGCAAAATCTTAATTATGGTTTGTTTTATTGATAAATGAGAATTAGTTAATAAATAGTAAATAAGACCATTATATTTTTGTCAAATTGGACATTCTAATTTCATAGTAACAACCTACATTAGTTTATAATTATTAACAAAAGAAACCATTTATTTATCTGTAAAATTATATTTATATAAAATGTACATTTAAATATGTAAAAATCTTAATGACAAGAAAACACTAAAGATTCTAATTTCTAAACCGGTTCTGTAAATGATTTGTATACAACTAAGTGCTCAAAATTGATACAAAACATGTATTAGATAAAAAGAAAACTTCTAGCAGTGAAATGCGCTTTTCATCTTCTGATTTATGTATAGATAAGTAATCTATGTAACTATGTATAGCTTTGGGTGTGAGACACCAAGTTTGGTCTGTGGAAATTTATAAAATTTCTTTACTAATGAATCAAATCCACGTTTCTGAAGTGGTGTGTTTGTACATCCATGGATGCAACAATAAATGACATAAAACTTTAATAAATCCCCCCATAAAGTTCACATTTTTGTCACCAGTTGGCATTAAAGTCATGACTGTCGGCCCCTAAATTTAATTATTTTGAACCAGGAAATAAACTGATTGAAATGATTATTTTACTTTAAATCATCTATTTACCAATTTTAAGATTGTATAAAAATCTCATAAAAATAAAAAATGTTCTGATGATTTTCAAGTAATACCATCGTTATTTTTAATGTCAATAACACCTTTTAAAGTTCATTGTGGGGCATAATGAAAATCGGAGCCGCTGGTGCTCTGCTACCCATTTTATTTCAAGTTTATACAAGACTTAAATAAACAACACCAATAATATGACACTTTAAAAAAAAACAGCACATAATGAGGATAATAATAAAACAAGAATATTAATAAAAACAAAAATAACCTAAGAAAATACAGGACAATAACAAATTCAAATTATAGACTTCAGTGCAGAGTGGTACATTATAATATATATTTATCCCTATGAAGTCTATAAATAATAGTAAAAAATAAATATCTATTTAACCCTTAATTAGATACGCCAATTTTTTTATGTAACTAGTTATATGGAGAACTTTGTGCACCTATTGATTAAACTGCTGTAAAACCATCCAAAAGGCGAAAATAATATAGGGTGTTTTTAAAGTTCTGCACCTGCCAATTTCTGGGAATTTTTGGATCACTGAAAATAATATTAAAAAATAAACAAAAAATACATTTACTTACATAAGTGGTCTCACCTTTGGAACATCCTGCTATATTTGCTACCATATCTCACGATAAATGCTAGTACAGAGTGTCTACCTCCCAAAGGTAAGTTAGATGGGACATTCTGGGGACATTTGTAGCAGATCATTTGAGTTATGACCTTGTACTGAGAACAGAGCACTCAGTTCCTCTCGTGAGCATTTAAGAGTTAACCAGTATAGGAATATTAACAAAAAATAACAAAATTAGGTATACATCATTCTCCTGTTTGACAAAAAACTATACCCTTTTTAGTCTTTCTAATTTATATATTGATATCTTAATCTTTTGCAGGTATTTGACCAACTCTGGTATTGAATACCTCAGAACATTCTTGCACTTGCCCCCAGAAATTGTACCCTCAACCCTCAAACGCCCAGCTAGGACTGAAACAACCCGTCCCAGACCTGCTGCTGTCAGGTTTGAAGGTTCCAAACCCTCAGAGGACAGAACAGGATACAGAAGGACTCCAGGTGGTCCGGGAGCTGACAAAAAAGCTGATGTTGGACCTGGTACTGCTGATGTTGAATTCAGGCAAGGTTTTGGACGTGGTAGGGCGCCACAATAGATGGACACTTTTTTAAATAAATTAAGTTTATAAAAATCGTGACCAATAAAGTATTTGTTGGTTAAAATGTTGTTTTTTGTTTGTTCAAATATACCTAGTATATATAAAAAGAAATATTCATATGATTTTTAATATTAAACCTCATATTTTTAAATTATTAGATTTTAACATTGCTTTTTATTTTTTATTAGTAAATGTTAAAAATAAGTTTTTGATAAAAGGCTAGATATAGTTGCCTGTCCTGTGAGAGGCAATTATATGAGGCGCCCCATTAATTGTGTTCAAAGGTATAAGTGGTTTACATGTAAGTAATGTTTTTGATTTTTCAGCTATGGTAGGAGAATGTTGGTTATTATTAGTTAATAGTTATTGATTGAATTATCTTACAATAAATTATAACTATGAGTATCATGAGGACATTAAAAATATATCAGGATGATCAAGTATATTATTAGTTTTTTTTTTTTTATATATAATTTATAGGCCTACATAGCTAGGATGATTTGGTAACAATAGGTAAATAATTACAATATTTTACAGCTTAATTTTAGACATTTGTATAAATTTTGATATTTTTTTAACATTACCGAAAGACAGAAGTTTAAACAATACATCAAAAAGTGTAACAGGAATTATAAAATTTTTTGGAATATCCAAACTCTCTAAAAATGTATAAATATTATTAAAATTATTTTGACAATTATAAAAAATATGTTGTAAATCCTCCCGTTCTCCACACGTACACCTATCATTTTTTTTACACCTATTTTCTTTAGATACACCATACTTAAACAATGACCGCTTTTTAATCTGCATACGGTACTTATATCCCTTCTATTCAAATTTTTTATTTTTGCAAACCACGGTCTCTTTAATGGAATTTGAATTACATCTCCATATAGTTTCCCTTATATTTCTCCTCCCATTTTTTCCATGTATTGGTTTAAAAAAAGGCAAGAGTTCACTATGATGCACCCTGGCATTAATATTTAATATTTGCAGTCTGCCTTTTTTGGCCAGTTCATCTACTTCCTCATTTCCAGTTATTCCGCAGTGACTAGGAATCCATGCTAGACAAATATCTATCCCCAAACTCTTTGCATTAAATAAACTATGCTTTGTTTCTAATGTTAAATAGTCCATTTTAGTCGATATGCAATTACTGGATATTTTTTGGAGAGCACTTTTAGAGTCGCTGAAAATAACTGCTTTACTAATATTCTCAGTTATAATAAATATAACCGCTTCTTTAATTGCATACATTTCGGCCGAACAGATTGAAAAGAAATTTGGAAGTCGAAAAGATTTGGCAATTAAATTTGTAGAAAAGATACCAGCGCCAGTTTTGCCCTGCCGATCTTTGGATTATTAGTTCCCAGACAATTTGTGACACATTTGTTTTTCATCAAGTAATTATGATTAAAACTTGTTATAATGTAATGTTAGATTTAGTTTTTACTACAATCGAACATCTGTTGAGGTAGCTCGTGATAGGTTGCCTTTTGATTTGCATCACCCAGCTTTAGTAATTAATCCAACAAGTTTTGAAGAAATTGCCTCTTTAGAAATTGACTTTATGAGTTATAATTTCAGTAAAGGGGCTAAACTACTTCTTGACTAGTATAAATTGGAATATAATATTTAATTATTCTTTGGACATAAATTTAATTGTAATAAGCCACTTTTATAAAATAGTATACACTGGCATCGATCTGTTTGTACCTAAAGTAAGAATTAAAGACTTTAAATTTTCTAAATGGTATAGTCTGGAACTCAACTAATTATTTCTAAAAAAGCAGCTCATGTGAAGTACAAGGCTACCAATGGTTGGAATGACTACATTAATTTTTCTGGTATTAGGTCTAGGTACAAAGCTGTCTCAAGAACGTATTATAATGCTTATATTCACTATACAGAAATTTTGTTGATTCAAGAAGGAAAAACCACCCCATTTCCCAACTAATGCAAGGTATTGCTGATTTATTTGCAGATTATTTTCAATCTACTTATGTATCTAATGTTTTAAATATACCTACTTTTATGTACTCAAAAACAATATCTATTAACGATTGTGACATAACATTAATCGATGTCTTGGAAAAATTGAGAACTCTAGATATCAGAAAATCTTCAGGACCAGATAATGTCCCCCAATACTGCTGAAAAAATGTAAATTTTCCTTGGCGAAACCAATCTATGAACTTTTTAACATATCGCTACAAACTGGCATTCTCCGTCATCTTGGAAATGTAGCTTTATCACACCAGTGCATAAAAGTGGCGCCAAGAATAGTATAAAAAATTATAGTATAATGAATTCAATACCTAAATTATTTGAGCATATTATTTACAACAAAATTAATAGTGAAGTAGCACAAATTATCATTCCTCAGCAACATGAGTTCTGCCAAGGAAGATCAACATCTACTAATTTACTTCTTTTTGTACATGACGTGTTAGAGACATTAGAAACTAAACATCAAGTTGTTGGAGTATATACTGATTTTTCCAAGGCATTCGACAGTGTCAATCATGTAATTTTATGTAATAAACTACGAGCAATTGGAATCCATGGAAAATTATTGGAATGGTTGTCCTCATATTTAACAAATAGGTCGCAAGTAGTAAAAATAAATGGGAGTACGTCTAAACAAATTCAAGTTTCCTCTGACGTACCTCAAGGAAGCCATTTAGGTCCTTTGTTATTTAATATATTTATCAATGATATTGCAAAAGTATTTGTTAATTGTAAATTTTTACTATTTGCAGACAACTTTAGACTCTACTCTGCTATTAGCAATCTCCAAGATTTTCTTAACCCGTAACCGGTGAGGTACAATTTCAGTAACATTAAGAGTGATGTGGTGTCACACACTCATTAAACAAAAATCATTTTAATTAATAAATTTCATTGAATTAATTTACAAATTGATGAATTTTATTCGTCGATATTTAATTTTTATACAAAAAAGTTATTAGATTATTTTTTTTAATACAGAAATGTTGAAAGTTTTATTTAGAATTAAAACAAGCCTACATAATTCCATGAACTAAAAAAAATGTATGTTTTGTTTAGAAGTTTACTGTAGTGGGCAAGGGAATACTGTATAATAATTAATTTTTATGCAAAATAGAAACATATTTATTAAGTAATAAAATTCTCACATCACGTAAATTACACTAATTTCGAAAAAATAGTATTTTAAAACATATTTTCTTCCTACATGATAAATATATAGGCATTTTACATTCGTAACATACGTAATATGTCTTTCTATGAAGTTTAGATAGGCATAAATAGCAATAATTCCGAGCCTCTAAGTTTTCTTCTGGTGGAAATGGTACTGGTTCTTCCAGTGCAAGTGTTCTTGTCATCGAACATTTTATATCTAGGACCTGAATCCATCTAAAAATAAGAGGTTATAACACAAAAATCAAAAATTTATCATAATACGAAAACTTACATTAACAGTGAGGTGAAGTCACTGAGACTCTGATTACTAATTTGAACCTATTCACTCTACCCTAACTATATTAATAAGAACTGTAACCTACCGCACCCAGGTACCTTAATAATTTATTAATTCCAATTATTAAGTTCAATATTATATTCTTATTAAATATCAAAATGCTACATTTAACGAAAAATCTCCCAGATAATTAAATCTTATTTACGACACCTAATAAATAATAGCTATAACCACGTCCGTAAAAGATGCACGTGGCCGAATTCTCAGACAAAGAAAACACCATAAGCCGTATTTCTGTTTACGAAGTAATTATCGTTGAAATACTTATCTCGCTTATTTTTTTAGTTTCGATGTTCAGACCGATATCGACAATATTTCGATACATAAAACTTTCAAGGCAAGTAATAAATAACCCACCCCCTTTTGCACCTACATTCGTATTTTCTATGAGAAGCAAAACGATAGAGACGTCACAGAAACGATTAAACTGCGTATAAAAAGCGATACCCAAATGAGCTCAGATTCATTCAATTTTTGTCATTTGATGTACAAGCATACATTTTGTTATTTTACATTCAAAGCAATCACCTTATTGCCAGTATCCATTTATATAGTCTGTACCTTTCCTAAACGCTCTTCCTAAACAAAGTATATCCCACAATACCTCCTATTTCCCAAAGGTGTCAACGTCTCGACGCCCAACGTCTCTCCGTTCTACTTCTCCACCTTTCTACGTCCCAACGATATCACTGCTAACGCCACTTAGTATTTCCTACCATTATATTCATCCCGACGCCAAACGTCTCGACGTTCGACGTCCAGACATCCTACCTACCTACTTCCCACGTATCGAACGCTGTCACATTCCGCACCATCTAAGTATTTCCTACCTTACATTCATTCCGACGCCCAACGCCCCATCGTTCTACTCCTCGACGCCTGCCGCCCCTAAATATTTCCTTCATAATATCCTTATCGACACCTTCCGTCACGTCCCGTACCACCTAAGTATTTCCTACCATATATCTGTCTCGACACAATCACGAAATAAATACCTTCCTCCCGCCACGACGCTTGACGTCTCGACGCAAGGCATCGTTCAACACCGCGACGTACATAATGTCTAGTTTAGACGAGCCAAATGTCTGTAATTTCAATGGTGAGTAAAAAGGGTTTATGTAACTGTCTTTGAGATGCCACCGGGGTCTCGTTTAAATGCAGAGCCTGACATTTTGCTTAAAATATTATCAATGTAAACAATCAACCACATGGGCTTCAGGTCATACACCCCGAAAGACACTTAAGATAACATCTGTTATATGCTGCGTTTGAGAATCCACATCGGATGCATTTTTTACATCTCGAGCGTTTTTTTATCCACATCGGACACATCTGTCCCATTACATTTACGTATACTGAACCACGTGATCAAAGATTTTTTACATCTCAGATGTATCCGATGTGGATTCTCAAACGCAGCAATAGATGGGTGAATTTTGAGTATTTCAATAGAAATTATAATAATCAATATTAAAATACATACAGGGTTGTATTAAGTCATATCAATAGAAATTATAAAGATCAATATTTTGGAAATATACAGGGTTGTGCTACCTTGGATAAATTGTACAAACCAAGATGGTAAAATTTAATAGTAAGTTAACCAACTGGCGAATACGCTGTTAGTTAGCTCAAGGGGGGACACCTTTACGCTAAGCAACCCGTTCTACAAGGTTTGAAACTAAGTATATGTGAAATCAACAAAGTAAGGTAATCAACTGGCGAATTGGCGCTGTTTATTACTTCAGTTGGTCATCACCTCTATACTCATCGTAATATTTACCTAAGAGGGTGCAACCTGTATATGTCTAGAATAGGATCAATATAAACAACAACATAATAGTTAATCAACTGGCGAATTGGCGCTGTTCATTAACTCCGTTGGTCATCAACCTAAATCAGAATATAAACAACAACACTATAGTTAATCAACTGGCGAATTGACGCTGTTTGTTAACTCTGTTGGTCATCAACCTAAATAGGATATATATTGATAGCAAATGAATAAAGGACTGCATTTCAACGATACTCAGGTGATACCTCAGTAAATAGTACCCATTTGTAATATACTTTGCAAGTTATTGAATTACATTTAAAGAATGAGAAAATAAAAAGGTTTAAATATAATTTTGTATGGTTTTATTTATCAATTTGCACCAAACTGCATCGAATTCTGGTTTACCTTAATTGACATTATCACAACGTGGGTACACAAATTATCAATCAATTAACTAGACGATCATTTTTACTACTAGAGGGAAAAAGGCCAATTACAGTAAGTATAGAATTTAAAGTAAAACTTGTGAGGTAAATAATAACAATTTCAATGTAAAAACATAAGAACAAAATTAAAAAGAAAAGGGGCCTGGGGGCGGGCCGTCACAGAACCAACAATGATTTGAAGATAGACGAGCACACGCATGATTCAAGGGGACCGGCAAAAAGTTACAGCAATTTCTAAATAAGTTTGTTTGACTCCATCTCACCGGTTACGGGTTACAGTTCAAAATGATTTCGATAACTTACATGATTGGTCAATCAATTATCTTTAGAAAGCATTATGAATATTCAAAATAGAGAATTTAAAATTATAGGATTTATTCGTGGGCATACAAACGAATTCAACAACTTGAATTCTTTAAAATATTTATATCTCACCCTAGTTCGACCAATTCTTGAATATGCAGCAGTTGTTTGGTGTTCAATGTATCAAAACCATATAACGGCCTTAGAAAGAGTGCAAAATTTATTATTGAAATATATTTCTTCTAAATTACATATCCCATCAGAATATTTTTCAGCTTCACAAATAAGGCAACGTATGCAATACAAGAATTGGGCAAACGAAGATATATGCAATTGATATACAGTTCTTATATAATAATTTCATTAAATGTCCTGAATTACTGTCATGATTTCTTTTCCATCAGTACCACCCCGTAATTATATTTTATGAAATAATGTTTAAAAATAATTTATTTGTTTGTTTAAGAATCAATGTTGGAGTTTTGTGTATTTTAAATAAACGTATATTTATAAATGTCTTTTTTTTAGTCTAATAATACTTTAGAAAAAAAAGCTAGACTACATTTCTGAAATATTACTATTTAATATTTCTAAAAGATTTTATTTCAGAAATATTACTGTGAAATATTAAATTTACAGGACATTTTTACGTTTCAGGCAAATTTCAGAAATTATTCTGGGATGTTTCGTAATATTTATACATTACAAATGTTTCAATATAATATTTCTGAAATGTGTCTGTGCTGTACGAGTTTTCACTGATACAATTATGCTTTTAATACATTCATTTCCACTTTCACAGATGTGGCTTCTGCGGAATTTCAGAAGGAGTCTGCTGGTTTGCTCCTATTTTTACCAACTATTCGTCATCTTGCCACCCTTAGTTGGGCTGCTTTCATTTGGTGCAGGACTGGATGGCAGTGTAACTTGTACTGGTGGTGAATCCGCTACCATTCCCTATCATCAGGATGACTGGTGTAGATTGGGATTGTACGACATTGATAGGAATAGCCATTTTCCATTCCATCAGTTCTTTATTAGCTCCATCTCCGATTCAAGAGCAATACCTTTCCGCGGTCTCCTCCAAGCCCAATTTGGGGAAGCCGCTCCATCACTCAGAATTGATCAACCCACTCTGGGGCTTCTACCACTTTTTCTTTTCCCACATACAGTTATTAAATAATTTTTAGTAATTTTTTAAAAAAAATTTTACTTAGTGTAACTTTTAATCCCACTCTAAACATTACTCATTAATATCAACTGTACCTCTTGCACTTCATATGTTAAGTTAATTTTTATATAGTAGATTTAGTATATCTACAATTTGTATTTCACCTTTAGAAACCAGTTAAGATCTTAGGTATGTATATATGTCTAGTTAATATTTTACCAACTTTGTTAAATTTCACTCAACTTGTTATAGGCTTGAAAATGGCATTGTAGCCGAAACCTGTCGCCTTGATTAATTAATATATATATATATATATATATATATATATATATATATATATATATATATATATATATATATATATATATATATATGTGTGGGATTGATTTGGAGTTGTTTTATTTTCTCATTGAAGATGGCCACATTTGAGAGGTTGGATTCCCTTCATAGCTTACTTTTTGATTAGCTGGGCCTTACTAAATATACTCGCATTTGATCACAGGAAAGTTATGTGTTGGACACATCATATTTTTGTTACTTCTTAATCAAATATAAAAAAAATACAATTATGTATTTGAAAATGTAATTATTGAGTTATTAATAAAATAATTATATATAAAAAAATTGAAACCTTTCAAAGAGATATTTAAAAAGTCTCGAGTTCTACCCTTTAAAACAAATAAAATCTGTTAAAGGTAAATTTATATCACACAGTTTATTTAAAAAATCTATTATCGTATTGTGGCATATTGTTGAAACTCCACAGTAGAAAAATTTGGAAAATTTTCAGTAGGTATTCCAGGGTACGCTTCTATAGGACTGTGTATTTTTATCTGCCTCATGTGAGTGTCCCTACCATTTTGATGATTACTGGTCACAGCTATTTGTATCATAAAAACTCTTATTGGTTCATCCCTTATGTCTTTTATTGGTATATGTACCCAACCTAAAAAAAACCTTCATCAAGTAGAGAAAAAATTGGAACAAGACAGTATAAAGCAGTACGTCAGAGATACATAGTGCAGTTTTATAACATATTTTAAACTCTGCTCAATCGAGACCTTTCCAAGGGTATATATAATTAGTAACATCACAATAACATTTAGCCAAAAAAATATAACACTATGTTCGATAAACTTATGAGGTTAACAATGCCATGAGAACAAAGTTTTTTTTTAACTCTCAATTTAGTCATGTTGGAGGTAAATGATACTCTGTAATAGAAAATTTGGTATCAGAACATACAAATATGTTAGAGGTAGGTACCGGTATTTTTGAAGCTTAGTGCCTACTATAGTGTAGAGAAGAAAGGAGTGCAGTAATTTAATTTTCAGAACTTAGTACAGGTTCTAGAGGTGGTAGACATTTTATTTATACCTCATCCTTCAATACTTATACTGAAAATTTTAATATATCTGATCGGCATAATAAAAGTTTTCGTTTAGATTTAAACATGTTTCCATGGTTTTTACTGTAATAAACCTTTTCTTTTGATAGATAAGTCGGACTTTATTTATTCATAGCCGTATCGTATGTATTTTAATTGATTTGAAATTTTTTATAAGTATATGTTATAATCAGAGATAACAGGAGATGTAACTACTAATAAATATCGTGCCGTCCTGAATAAGACATATTCTAAGAAACACAGGCGGGTATAATATCCGCTGTTGTCATATTCCTATTTCATTATTCTCGTTTTGTTTACAAAACTATTTACATATATTAAAAAAGCTCAAATAATTCAATCTATTTTATTGCAACTGGACCCAAAAATTTTTGAATCATTAGTTATATCAAATTTAACTAAATTAGATGCAATTTCACTACATTAGATGTAATTACTTTCAATAAATTCCAGAACCTAGTCATGTTGGGTTGGAAGTGGCAACAGGGCTTACACTGGCATGGATATTTACGTTGTTTATTATAAGTGCACAGCGGCTTACACATTTATTCATTAATAAAATAGAGTTGTATCTGCGTAAACTCCTCTTTATCCCCTCTCATATTTCTCACCTTTCGTCTTCTCACCGCTCACCTACAAATACAGTGTTATGATTGTCGACTTAATCTTGGCATCTTGAATGTTATATTTTATCAATGAATGGCTATATCTCTGATTATAATTTTACAGTTATATAAGAATGGCGAGTATGTTAGAAAATATTGCAAGCACAAGTACGCATAAACAACCTAGTGGACATAAAGCATTATCTTTAGAAGAAAAAGATATCGTAGGGTCATCGCACTACTTATGGCCACTACCCTGCCTATGGCCACTTCTTGCTTTAAGACCTAAAAATAAACGTTTATCAACATTGTAAACAAAAATGGTGGTTGGAGAAGGTAAATGAGCATGTGGTTACATGATTGGGCAGGTTTGCAACTAATAAACCAAGTCCATTGGAAATCAGTAAAATAAAAAGTTAGCATGTGTAATACATGCAAGCATTACTTGTTGTTTTGGCTAAGAATTTATCTGTAAACATATGAACAAAACTTAGATATATTACATATATTTTTGAAAACTTTCCATTCCAAAGGTAAGTAGATGTTAATACTCAATGTATTTTGTTTTACATTATTTTTTTTTAAATAAAAATAAATATCAGTGTGGCCACTAGTAATGACAAGAAATTAAGAATTCGTGAGTTATGGCCACCACAGTTATTGGCTGCGTTCATCCGCGCCACATGCTACCTGATCGATCTGGTAGCGCTCTCGAGTGGCACGTATGAACGGTGTATTTTGACATTTCGCTCAAGGAGCAGCCGCCATTAAAAGTAGCGCATTTTATTTACGTCTGATCGGTGATCACTGATCTGTCTTACGCACTTACGTCCACGGTTTGCTTGGTGACTAGTAGGGTTATATTAGCATATTAGCAATTGAAAAATAAACAAACAAATCTTCAACCAGAGACATTCAACTCAAAAGTAAAATGAATAAACCAAAATCAAATGTCATTTTTAAACATGGTTCATCCGTGCATAAAGATCGATCAGGTAGCGTAAGTGATCGCTACTTTTGTAGCGCTCCTTGAAATGGCGCGGATGAACGCAGCCATTGTATGGGTTGTGGGAGTTACTTGGTTTTTTAGCTAAGAAGTTGAAATGTCACTGGCATCTGACAGCAGTGGCAGTTTCTCAGATATAGAACCAGCAGTGATTATGCAGTTAGGCAAAACATTAAAATTGGCCGACTTTATATATTGGTACAATTTAGTGCCTGTGGCAAAAGAAGATCGACCGTGTATAGATATGTTGTACGCCAAACTATGGAGAATGAAATAGGAATCTCGTGCTTAAAAAGCCATTACAGTAAGATTTTCCTCTTCAATAAAGTTTTGAACAATTCTTGCAGTGTGGGACCTTGCATTATCTTGTTGTAAAACAAAATTAGGGCCTTCTAGATGAGCCAGTGGAATGACAATAGGTGCTAATATCTCATCAATATAACGCCTAGCTGTTAGAGTGCCATTTTCAAAAACATGTAAGCGTGTACGCCCGTTCAATTGAATACCTCCCCAAACCATTACAGAACCACCGCCAAAAGCTCTTACTTCTCTTACATTGCAATCCAAAAATCGTTCTCCACGGCGTCTATAGACTCTCACACGTCCATCATTGGAGTAAAGGCAAAATCTTGATTCATCCGTGAAAAGAACATGGCTCCATTGATAAATATCCCAATTTACATGTTCTGCTGCAAAGTTTCTTCTTGCTCTACGATGAGCTGGTGTTAAATGAGGAACAATAGCTTGACTTCTTGAGTGTAGTTGAATTTCATGAAGTCTGTAAAGATATGCGTCTACAAGTGGTCTGAAAATTTAAGTTTCTTATCTGTCTAGCTGTTCTTGTCCTATTTTTTAGGGATAATTGTACAATTTGGCGGTCCTGTCGGGGCGTAGTTATTCTTTCTCGTGGTGTATATGGTCTTCTACGGATAATACCTATGTCTTGAAATCTATTCCACATTCGGTGAATCGTTGGTTGACTTGTTTGAAGCAGTGTAGCAGTGTAAGGACTCTTGCTACTTCAATTTCACTTATATGCCTTCTTTGTACAATAGGCCTTCCAAGAACATCATTATTCATAATTTCAAGTTAATTGTTAATGTTACAAACAATTTCTTTGGTGTACAAAGTAAAACTGAATATATCAGATACTTTTAATTTTTTGCTTCTATAATTTTTTTTCTCACCTCATAAAAGAAGTTTTGTTTTTTTATATTGAAAATATGCATTTAGGTGTGCTTGTTATTTACGGGGGACATTTAAAAAGATTTAGATAATTAATTCAGTGATACCTATTTCGTTGTGACTAGTTTATATTGAAAATGAGATTTCCACTGTTCCCATATCTGATGTTTTAGGACTGTTAACCGAGCATTCTCTAGTAGAACAAGGTTAAAAATTGGTTATAACATTTTTAGGAAGTGTTAAGGTACCCTTTGGGAAGGCGAGACCGATACCGACTTCAAGTGGCAGGCAGCAAATACTATCGTACTAAAAGTGCTGTCGTCGGTCGCGCCTTCCCAAACGTGTTTCATTTAATTTCATTTGTTCAGACGTTTAGAGACCATTTTCAGTCTCCTTCGCTGTCACTTTGCGCTTGAAGTCGGTCTCGGTCTTGCCTTCCCAAATGTTCATAAAAAATAAATTTCATATTTTAGCAAAAATTTTAATTTGTTATACCCTATCTATTCTAAATCACTACTGGGTACATACATGTAAATAAACGCACTTAAATTATTATTTAAAAATGCAACTTAAAAATTAGTGACCATAAGTAGAGAAATAGTGGCAGACTGATGGCCAAAAATAAAGAATTTCTTTCACTTTTATAAAAAAAAAATGTTTTTAATGCTTTTAACAAAGTAGATGCATAGGTACTTATACTGTTGAAAACTATATACTTCAACCTATCAAATAGTATTTCTATTTATTTTTTCTGTTACAATGTTATTGAAAAACAGACCACACAAAAGCATTTTTGCCTTAAGGTGGCCATAAGTAGCGCCATGACCCTACTTAATGTATTTAATAATCTTTGAAAAGACTGTTTCACTTTCTGTGAATGAAATAGCCACTAAATGTGAAACCTATACTGGAGTATCTAAGCAGACAGTTATTGGAGAAGTCTCACATCCGAAAAAAGGCCACAGGAAGATATTGGATCTTTATTGAAACTTGGGTAAAGAATGTAATAAGGCATATGGTACATTATTATTCTTTCGAAATGAAATTCCTACACTTAAAAAAATTACACTCAGAAATAGAAAATAGCCTTACTCTTCCAAATATATCATATTTTCATCTGCAAAAAATATTACATGAATTAAATTTTCGTTACAAAAAACGTGACAGAAATAGCTTTTTAACAGAGAAAGACGAAATCATTGCATAGAGACTTGTTATTTAAGGAAAATAGCGGATGCAAGGAATCAGCATAAACAGGTAATTTATTTAGATGAAACTTGGGTTCATGTTGGACATACAGTAACAAAAATTTGGCAAGATACCTCCATTAAAACTAAAAAACAAGCCTTTATAAAAGTGGTTTCTTATGGATTTTAAAATCCATCAGGAAAAGGAAATCGTTTAATAATAATAACCCACATTGGAAGCACTGATGGATTTTTGTTTTTGTCACATGGTTTATTAATGTTCGAGTCAAAGAAATCAAAAGACTACCATGAAGAAATGGATGAATGTTTGAAAATTGATTTCAGAACATTATAAAAAAAATTCAGCTAACTAGAATATTATCAGTCCTCCTAAACCCTTAAAGGCAGAATAGACGAGATTGCCCAAGAAAAAGGAATTGAAATTCTCAGATTGGCTCACCATGCAGAGTTAAATCTCATTGAACTGATCTGGTCACAATTAAATGGTTCTGTTTCTCAAAACAATACATTTAAATTACCTGATATGTGAAATTTGTTAGTGAAGGCAGTTTCAGATGTAAATGGAGAACATTGGAGAAAATGCATTGATCTTGTTAAAAAGGTGGACAATTCATTTTGGAAAATGCATATAGCAATGAAAACCTTAATAAACTCTATAATAATAAACCTCAGAAAAGACAATGATAACTGTAGTTATAGTGAAGACAGTGACTTTTAAAGATAGTTCATCTTTGATTTTAGGTACTGAAGTGTTATTATTAATGCCAAGAGATTAAAAAAAGTTTAATCCCATTAACAACATATAATCCTTGTTATTTATTGGTTAAATTAAATTTGTTCACTAATAAAGTGCAACAATAATTTTGCCAGAAGTACTTATAAGGTTTATATTTATTTTTTGTAACTTTTTTTTATTTAAAATTTAATCTATGAAGTTGTGACCTTATTTATATTATAAAAACTTATTTTGCAAAGTATACCTATGGAATGTGATGTTATATCCCCATTTTTACTGCTCTCGTCTTTATTCAGACTGTAATGCACATGTCCACTCCACCCTGCACTAACTTTTAGAATTTAAATTTTACCCCTGCCCCTTTATACATCCATTCTTGTTCTGTCATTTGTTTTTAATTTTTTATTAATGCGAGGACAAGGAAAATATGTGTAACACAAAAAAAAATAAGTCAAAATAATCCAAAATTTACACTTTTATTTATTTCAAAAAAATTTCCTTGTCCTCGAAATGTTTGACAGCATCTTCGATGATTAAAATTTTCTTTTTCCTAGATTTACTATCACTATATAAGTAACCCTGGCAGCTATGTAAATATTCTGATTGTTGGAGCAACAATGGTGCGGACATGCCTATTAGTAGGACACTGGACTACAAAATTACAGAGTTTACCTACATGACACAACATAAAAATTAAAAACCAACAATTTATGCAAAAAAAAATATAGATGGTTTTAATAGTTAGATCAGTAAACAATACATAAATATTGTGACAATAAAAGTGTTTAAACAATATTCAATCTGCTATACTGAAAAGTTGACTCCAATGACAATACAGTTTACCTCTGAGGTACTGGAAGAATGAATTATATCTTTACCTGATGGTTCTGTTAACATAATAACTTCAATTTCTTGTATATCATTGAAATGTGTTCCTACCCTAATAGATATCCTACTCGGGGTGTAACTTTCATCAAGTTTATAGTCTGTATAAATGTAAATATCACTAATGGTGGTCTTTTTTTGAAATTGGATATTTACTAGATGTGGTAGCTGACCATCAGATTGCCAGTAAGTATCAGCTCTATCGTCTCTAAGTTGATCTACTCCAAAACCTATTAGAATAGAATAAATAGTCTAAAAACATTTTATAATTCAAAATTTAGAAAAAAACCTGGTTTGCAGGATGAAAGACTCCAAATTGCTTGTGATCCTACTTCTCTGACATCGCCTGTACGCTCATTTTTAATTGGATCGACGTCTCCAGTATTTTTTAAAGACATTATTATACTGACATTTTTTAACCAAACGTTATAAAAAAATGTGTTTATTATTGAATTTATTGATATTCATACATTCAAAAATGCTTTTACATTTGTTGACATTTCTAGTGTCAATCAGATAGTTGTCTCTGTGTCAATGTCACAATTCACAATGTCGATAAAGAAGTCATTGTTTTTAATTTTTACAGAGTTTATGTTAATGTCGGATAGGTGGCAGTAGATAAAAACTATTTGAACTGAAATGTTATCAATTTACTAGTTTCCCTGTAAACCAGAGAGAAATGTCTTATCTCTGCTGTAAACGGTAACATATTTTATTTATATTCTATGTATTTTAAAATAGGTCATTTTTAAAAAAGAAAATGCCATTAAACGCTTATAATTGGAGAATTAACAAAAAAAAAATAAAAAATCAATAAAACCAAATTAATATACTTCGTTGATAGATGCATGATAGATGCCCAAACAGAAACAAAAATTAAACTGAATTTATCACAAAAGAAATATATGGATAAAAAATGACAGGTGAACGAAACAATATTCTGCAGCTATAAACTTTCATTGATAGATGCCGCAGCATGCAATAAAATTTAATAAAGTTCAATTTAAATTTAATACTAATACAACTAACAATTATTAAATATTTAAATTTTTGAATATATTATAATTCGATAATGCTATTTCTGTTATCGGTACATAGTACGACAATACTTCTTTATGGACAAAAAATGGCATATTAACTGAATCCACGGGCCCGCGGTTCTACGAACCGTGTACTAAACCATTTCTTTAAATACATACTAAATCCCTAGATGTCGCGATATGTACCAAAATGAAATAAAATAGAATTCGAATAGATAGACAAGTTAAAAAATTTGTATGTTTGTGCTAGAAGCGTAACGTCAAAGGTATAGGTAATAATAATAATAATAATAATAATAATAATAATAATAATAATAATAATAATTATTTATAACATAAAATAAAATACTACATTTTATTGAAGAACTTCATAATAAAAAAATTAGGATGGACCTCGGGAGTAATATCAAACACCAAATCTAATAATTCATTAATAACTGCATCACCGTATTTAGCCACTTTATCTTCAATTTCATTTAAATGAATTTCAGTGTCTTTTTCGATTTGCAAAGCCACATCTTCACTGCGACCCAAATACCTTTCCTCATAGTCTATGAACTGTTGTTCTCTGTGCCATCTGTATGCTTCTATCTCTGCAATGCAAAAATATATTATAGGTTTAGGTAGGGCCTTTTTGAATTAATAAAAATTACGTACAAGTAAAATGTACCTACGTATATTAGAATGCGATAACAGCAGCCAATTTTACATAAATTACATACGAAAATCACATTACATTCTAATATCTACTTGTATGTTTTTTTATGTACCTACTACAAAATAATTGATGGCAGGTACTTCTGGGTATGGTTAAGTACTAGAAAATTAAAATAAAGTGTTTTTAAACACCCATATGTTTATTATCTATTCTAAGCACAGTACTTATAGATATAGATAACTTCTGAATTAATTAATTTTTAAAATTTTGTAAATGTTCGTTAGTGGGTCGTAGAAAAAATATATTGAATAGCTCAAGCAGATTGTCTGTATCCTCAGATAAACAAATGAAATATACAATGTTCTTAGACTAGGTAATAAAGAGAGGACTCATAACGCCACTGAACATTTTGTTCCATTCTGACACCAACGATATTCGACCAAAGGAAATAAAAAACGAACTTGTATTATTAGTACTTATTGATCTATATAAGGCAAGTTCAAAATGTAAAATTTAAAATAAATAAGTAACAATAAATAAGACAAAAAAAATAGAAATAAAGTGAATGAAATCGTTTACATCAGTATTTCCCAAAGTGGTTCAGGTGGACCCCCAGGGGTCCGCGCAGGGCCGACTAGAGGGGGGGGCAGCCGGGACTAATTCCCGGGGCCCGGGCTCAAATGGGGGCCCGGCAGCGGTGGTGTTTGTTACTTTTAGAAGTTTTGACAGAAGAGGGGGAAAGTTCTTAGTTAAAGACCTTTTTTTTAGGAGGATAAATTTTTGCTTGAAGACCTTTTGTTATTTAATTTTTTATACAATTGTCGCGGAGCCCGATCTGGAGAATTGTCCTGGGGCCCGATCTGGCTCTCGGCGGCCCTGGGTCCGCGGGAGACTTGACGGGGGTCTACGTTGGGCGTAATAAAAAATGGGGGTCCACAATCGTAAGCGGGGGTGTATGAAAATTAATTTGGTTTCGATAGTGAAGCAATATACTTACTATTAAATAATTGATTACTCATTTTTCCATGTGATGAAGAAATTCTTGTAAAAAACTTCAACTGTTTATAATATAAACAGTCAAGATTTTAGTTACTAAAATCCCAGACAGCAGACTGACGACATTTTGACGACATTTTTTGGTAATTCTTGGTCATCGACGTCATGTTACCAAAAAATAAGGTGATTAGGACGTCACTTCTTTAACGTCTTTTTGACGTCACAAATTAGACGTCAGTGTGACGTCAATTTATTGTCACTAATAAATTAAGGTTTATATTTGATTTCAATACATTTTATTTATGTAAAATAATATGGCCTATCAATTATTTTTTAAAACTGTTAGGTCTATTAACGTTTAAATCTGGCGCTTAAATGCATAAAGACTAATGACACCACGTGACACATGACTGCGTCTGTCTATGGTTATCGGTCTGTTGAGTATGGCTCGTGTATGTTCGAGCCGTTCGAGCAAGCACGAGAACGGTATCGCAGATTGTTGCATTGGCCATATGTAATGGTGTGTGGATCGTGGCCCGTGTGCATTCAGGATTGTTGTTAAAAGTTAAGAGGGTCAGTGAAAAAAGTTATATCAGTATCAACGCTGCATAAGGTATTTTTATATCTATATTATCCTTATTCTTTAATGCTTTTATATCTTTTACATTCATAGGATATAGGATGTTTTCTAAAATGTTTCCAGGTTCGTGAAATAGTATAAAATGGCGGCACTCAGAAAAATCATTGTGCCAAACCAAAATAATAACGAACAATTTGGCCACATTTGGAGCAGTTGGATTTATATAAATTAATGTTTTTTGCCGATAAAATTTCATGTATTTTAACTTTTTTCTTTTTAATTATAATTATTTCATTTTCTAATTTTGTTTTATTAAGTGACCCACGGTTTCTATAGAAAAGTTACAAAGGAGTAACAATATCAAATGTAACGTCATGGTGACGTCTCAAATAAGTATAAAGAATAACGACAAAGGTGACATTAAAACAACGTCATAAACACGTCATATTTAGACGTGAAAAGGGCGTCTAAATATGACGTAATTTAGGCTGTGACATATTCACGTCATTTTACCGTCATTATCACGTTAGTTTTCAGAGGATAAATGACGTCCTGTATGACGAAAATAAGATGTCATAATGACGTCAGTCTGCTGCCTGGGATGTTGACTTGACTTGACTTCTCTTATCAATATAGGCAGATAATATTTTAAGAAGCTCAGCGACTGTTACTTGTAAAAACTTGCATATTCCATATTCAGTACAAGTCGAGATTTGTCGATGCCGCGCTGGCTGCCGTCCCGTCCGCAACGCTTGTTCAGACGTGCAAATTAATACGACTTGTAGTGTATGTGCTTGCAATCTTGCATAAACGTGTTTGATTCTTCACCAATATAAATACTGTTACGCAGCACCCTGTATCGAGCTGCGGTCATCATAAGTAAAGGTACGAGTAAATGAAGAAGATAGAATATTCCCGAAAAGTCTCGAAATGTCATTCCTTGTCAAAGAAAAGTCCAGATTGTTCGAGAAGTTTACAGAAGGGAAGGCAAGCTATATAAGGCGACGACCTGTCGTCAGGGGGTAGTTTTATGATAGACGTTAAACGCTAATGTTATCAGTTGAAGTCATTGTATCAGTTGTATAATTGTTGTTAAAGTTTAGTTAAAATAAATTGTTGTACCAAAAACCAGCGTAACAATATGAATGTCAAGGATAATTGTTACTCATATGTTTCTGGAATTTCATAAAGAAAAGTGAATCGATATTAGTGTTGGCCAGTGACTGAATTTTTTTCCAGACTTTCGAAAAGAAAAGTAAAGTGAATCGATCTTAGTGTTGGCCATTGACTGAATTTGTTTCCAGGCTTTCGAAAAGAAAAGTAAAGTGAATCGATATTAGTGATTGCCAGTGTCGGAAAAGTAAGTAGATACCTACCTGCCTATTTGTTACATGCATATAGTTTTAAGCCGAGAAAATTCCTCATTTTCTATTGTTTGAGAAGTTCTCAGAAGATAATTAAAATAATTTTTATTTCAGAAACGGTGCATAAGAACGAAAAAGTCAAAGAGGCACTTTTTAAGCAGAATTAATCAGAATTAATCATTAATTTTTTCAAAAACCAGTTGCATACATTTTTTCTCTTAACATAAAGACTTGACGGCACGAACGCCACTGATATAAACAATTTTAAAAACAATTTATTGCATAATAATGATCCTTAATTAATTTGCGTGTACCAAGACTCATTTCAATATCTAAACGGTTTTTCGATAAATGTAAAATAAAGTAAATAAATACAAAAATGTTTAAACATCCCATATCAGGAAAACGGAGCATTTTCAAACCCATGTTTATATGAACTTTTTTCATATTTTTAGATGTAGAATCTGTAACACTTTGTATATTTCATTTGTTTATCTGAGTCTGTATCGTACTCAGACGATTGAGCACTCGGCCTTGGTGGTCGTGCTCAATCTTCATCTTTGTACAATAAGGCCATCAAATATCTTCTCTTGTTGCACAAATTACAATATTGTCGCGCAAAAACCTACCATGTCCTTTGTTTTCTCCTTGCCCGCGGTTTGAAGTCTAGCGCCAGCATATAGAGACAAACGCACCACTTCTCGAAATAACCAGAAAAAGCTGTACGTGACTATTGATTCATAGAGATGGAATTTCGGACATTCAAGAACATCTAGAAACTACTAGTACAGAGTCTTTGTGTAAATAGCGCGAGTTCGCCGACGGACGGGCAGATTGAGTTTAAGTGTTGGACAGAAAAGATAAATTCTAATAAATAAATTAGAATTATGAGTTATAATAGTGCTTAAGTATTATATAAATTATTTAGTACGTCAGAAATAGTGTGTTTTAAATAAATAAACTATAAATAAATTAAATAAACGTCACAATATCTCTCTATTATCTATTGTTAATAATAGAGAGCTACGGCAAATTTCTATAACATCAGCCACTAATAGTTATAACGTAATTAGAGGCAAATAATTCCATGCTGAAATGAGACTTATTGCCAACCTGAAGTTTTGACATTACAATCCTTGTCCTTATACTTATTTCTAACCTCATTTTAAAAACTTTAAATTATATTCATTTATAGGCAAATTTATGAGTCTGAGACTGCTGGGTTTCGAATCCCAGACCAGACCATGTGGATTTTTAATTAAATTGCATGGTTCGGTTTAGGATTTGATGTGTGGCGTATTAATAGAAATTCAATTTCTGTTGATATGACATGCAGATTAAAAAAAAAATTCGCCATACACTACCGTCTCGATGATGGTGGGTGAGGTTTTCCGGGTTTTCCTCACCTGTAAGTCAAATGGCACCATCAATCATCTTTAAGTCGCCCCGGAGCGCCACGGCAAATAATAATAATAGCCGTCCCTTCCCTTACACAAGTCGTTCAGTCGACTTCAGGGGTTGAAATTCACTCGTAAGGGGGTGAATTAGGGAGAGTATTATTATTATATTATTATTATTATTATTATAGTTCCACTTTGTTGTTGTCTATAATAGTAGGGGAGGGTGGGGCAAAGCGGCATGAAATTTTGTTTTTTGCTGTCTAAAATGTAAATTTTCACGAAAAAAGTGGAAAAAATATTCAATCTAAATATCAGTATTTTTTTAAAAAATTATTGTGATATAAGGTATTTAATATCGTCAGTTTTTGTAAAACCATTAAAAAAAAATGCTGGGCAAACTGAAATGGGAATAAAATCGCATTAAAAAAACTGAAAAAGATTTTTATTGACAAAAAACGCAAATGAACACGTTTTTAGCTACACCTCTCATGAGCCCATCCTTGGCAGACGTTGCAGGCTATCCAGGTTTCACTTTTAAGAATTCATCTCTGCAAAAAATACACTCCGTATCATCATTCTTCTCGCCACTTTGTAC